ACTCTGTCTTTCTTTCTTTCTTTCTCTCTCTTTCTTCTTCTCTCTCTCTGTCTTTCTTTCTCTCTGTCTTTCTTTCTTTCTCTTTCTCTCTGTCTTTCTTTCTTTCTCTCTCTGTCTTTCTTTCTTTCTCTCTGTCTTTCTTTCTCTCTGTCTTTCTTTGTCTTTCTTTCTTTCTTTCTCTGTCTTTCTTTCTTTCTCTCTGTCTTTCCTTTCTTTCTCTCTGTCTTTCTTTCTTTCTTTCTCTGTCTTTCTCTCTGTCTTTCTTTCTTTCTCTCTGTCTTTCTTTCTTTCTTTCTCTGTCTTTCTCTCTGTCTTTCTTTCTTTCTTTCTTTCTCTCTTTCTCTCTTTCTCTCTCTCTCTTTCTTTCTTTCTCTCTTTCTTTCCCTGTATTTCTAATGTGGGATTTCCATTCTGGCTTTAGGATAAAAAAGCAGCAGTAGAAACGTTCAGGCTACCGGGGACTGCAAAAAACCCCAAAACGGTAATGATTTTAGGAAAACTATTTCCTCCATGGGAGCCTGAAATTTTCTACAGCTGCAGGTGACATCGAGCTTTTATTTCTTCTTCTAGATAGTTGATACTTAATACTCTATGTATACAGCGCCCCTAGCCGTCTTCATGGGCGCACTGCAGGCAGAGTGCCGCCGAATGACGTCACCTCGTCGCGACACGGCGCCCCGCCCCGGCCCCGCCCCCAGCGCCCCTTGGAAAGACCCCAAGGCGTAGCCGTTTTGCCAGCTGCCTGATCAAAATGCCGACACCCACCTCGAGCCCTAGAAACGATTTCCCGCGACGCCGAACCCTGCAGGCGAACCGGAATGCCATCATCGCAATTGAAACGCCGCAGAAAAGCTCGTCGGGGCCGCGCCGGCATCGGTGTTCCGTGCAGGCATTCCGGATAGACACACCGCCGGGGGCCCTCCGTTCTTCCGCCCTTTTGAGAAGGTCAAACAAACTCCGCCACGCGCCACGCCCAAGAGGGCTGCCTGGCGGCGGCGCCGGGCTGCAGTACCGCGCTCTGCCCACAAGGCGGCAGCACTGCCGCCCACCCCAGCCGGGGGCGCCGCGCGCCTTGGGCCTGCGGGCGGCCAAGGCGGCAAAAAGGAACAGGGGCGATCCCCCCCAGAAGCTGCTCTGAAATAAATGCCCCAAAACAACCAGGAAGAAGAAAAAAATCCTCCTGCCTCTAACCTAATAGGATAAAAAAAAAAACAAAAAAAAAAAAACCACCAAACCAAACCCAAACCCAACAATTTCTTTTAAAAAATATGTAAATATTTTTTAAAATAGTTTTTCATATTAATGTTCACCTTTCTATTTATAATGCGTATTGATGTATATTTATACATTTCTATTTATAAATAAATTTCTATTCTATATTACATCTCTCCCTAGTACTTAAATTTATTTCTCTATTTTTATACATATTTTTACATAGTAAGTATATATTTGTTAGGATTTTTGCTTCTGTAACGTTTACATTATTTAAAATAATTTCCCTGCCCCTACCCGGATAAAAGCCAAAAAGAACCCCCTTTAATTTCGACTGCATTTAAATTTGTAAAAAAATTTTTTTTTTTCATCTTTATATCCACATTATATTTCAAATGTATATTGATGTGTAATGTTGATTTTTACATTTATAATTTCCGATTTTTTATAAGTTTATATTCTATTTTACATCTGTTCCTATTTCTTCTATTTATTGACATCTTTTTATTCCTATCTTTCTATATTTCATCTATATTTCTGTGTTAGGATTTTTACTTCTGTAACTCTTCCATTATTTAAAATAAAACCCCTGCCTCTACCCAAATTCAAGCCAAAAAGAACCCCTTTCTTTTCAACTCTATTTCAATCTTTTTTAAAACTGTATCTTTCAGGTTCATGTTCAGATTTACATTTAAACTGTATATCAATGTATACTCTTATTTGTATTCTATATTACATCCCTTCCTATTATTTCTATTTCCTTAGGTTTTATATTTATATCTTGATTATCTATCTCAATATTTAGAAACAGGTAAGAGTAATATCTATATTCATATTATTTCAAATAAAAACCCTGCCTCTAACCCAAGAAGAGCCCAAAAAACCCCAACCCTTTCTTTTAGACAATATTTGAATAGATTTTACCCCTAGGTTTTCCTATTGATAGTCACATTTCTATTTATAATGTGTATTGCTTACTGATCCATTTCTCTTTATCAATGTCAATTTATAAATCAATTGATATTCTATATTCCATCTATTCGAGGACTTATTTCTATATTTTTATACGTATTTTGATTCATTGATTATCTATTTCTGCCTTCAGATTTTCACTTCTGGAACACTTGTATTATTTCAAATAAAACCCCTGCCTCTACTCAAACAAAAGCCAAAAAATTCCCTTTCTTTCCAACTATATTTACATCTTCTTCTATTTCTATTCCCATTTCTCATTTATCTTGCCACATAAGGTCATTTCTATTCTATACTACAACTCTTCATATTACTGACATAGATTTAGATTTCAATTTCTATCCATAGTTTCGTCATTTCTCTTTCTAGACTTATGATAGATTTCTATCTTAAGATTCACATTTCTATAATACTTCTATTCTTTCAAATAAAACCCCTGCCTCTAACCAAACAAAAACCAAAGACACCCCTTTATCTAAACCATATTTAAAACTCTAAAAATCGTCTCATTTTTCATCATTCTCTTCACATTTACTTTTATAATTTTTATTTATTACATTTGTAGGTATTATACATACTAGAGAGAATACCTTTTAATAGAATAATAGATATATAGTATTTTTATATCCTAGATATTCTTTTACTTCTATTTCTTTATATTAAATATTTAGAGAGATCGGTATACGCGTTATATATTTGGAGATCTGGATTTTTATTTTTATATTATTTCTATCTAGAAAAAAAAACCCCAGCCTATAACCTAATAAAAAAATCCCAAAGAATCCCCAATTCCTTTTAACTCTATCTAAATATTTTTATATTTACAACCGATCTTTAGATATCTTTGTATACATATATAATAGACTATCGTTTCTATAGATTAGCATCTGTTACAATAATATACTATATAGTATAGTTTTATGTGTTTATCTATTTGTTTTCTATATTTATGTTTACCACTATCATTTTATATTTGTTTTTATATTGATATTTATTTCTACTTTAATTAATCTATATATTAGACCGTATCAATTCATTAACCCAACGCATCAGAACCACACAAATACCGCGCCTTCGGCAGCACCGGTACGCAGCCCACGCTCATCCCATCGCAGCGTATCCAAACCAAACTATTTCTAGGACTAACAGAACAAAGACCCCACAACATTTAACCCTAAGAAAAACTCAAATCAACCGAACTGTCAAGACATTTGAAATCCCACTATAACTAGCCCAAAAGCTCCGTACATTCTCATCATAAACTTCCTCCTCAACCAATGGCTCAAACCCCAAAAAACTCAGATACACATGGAAAATGACAGAACTGCTAGTCAAAACAAACACCCGTGAAAAATTAAATCCAACCAACTCACTAAACTCAAAACCCTACAACTGACCCTAAACATTACTAAAAAAAGCCCCCAAAGCTCTACCTTGAGGCTAACTCACAAATAATAACCAATCATCTAGAAAGGTTATCTTCCAAATTTTAAAACAACTCATTAAAAGCATGAAAATAAAAAAAATCGAAACTATTAAAATACTAAAAAATATCACTACCCAAATTGAAAGACACATTGCCTCTAGAAACCCACCGTCAACAAATGCCCCTGTCCCCCAAAAGAAAACCAGAAACAAAACAGCAAAGCAGAAAGAAATCGGAACTTAGGAACGCTAAAACCAGAACGTTCAAGAAGTTCCACCATATCCCTGATCGTACACCAACTACAAACAACGTGAAACGATACAAACAATTCTTAAAGACCGCCTTAAAACCACTACATTAAAAACCCTTTCAACAATTCAAAACTGCATTGAACAAAAGCCATCTCATAAATTAACACCCAAAACTCCAGCAGCCCAGCTGGCCCTACCAAATCTCTCTGTTGATACACACAGTAAACAAAACCAAAATCCCAGGAATACCTATCAGAAGTCTAGGAAAGAAACCTCTGAAATTTATCCTACCTCAAATACAAACCAACCCGTCCAGAAAGTTAGCTTCACTCAAAAAAACTATTTACACAGAGGTAATAAGACCAAGAAATAAAACAACACACCATATAACGAACCACCAACAAATACAACAGCGAAGGAAAAAAAAAAACCCACGTTTTTTTCTTTTTTTTTTATTTCAACTAGCTTCCTTTATTAGCTAGAACCAAAGATTTTGCCAGGGCTGTAACAACAACAACAACTTCTTTTTCTTCTTCTCCTTCTGAAATGTCCCTTCTCCTTCCCAAATTCCTTACAACTTCTGCGTTTGAATCCAAGCCAAAAGCAAAATTCGTGCACTTGTGAGGTCCGGTGCTCCTGTCAGATTCTCTGTCTCCCTCCACATCTTCTTACACTTTCAGTCTGAACGCTGTCCTGCCCTGATGAGTTTGACAGAAGAATTGGCACATGTTAAGAGAGCATTTCCCTCCCTCCCTCCCTCCCTCCCTCCCTCCCTCCCTCCCTCCCTCCCCAGAGCTGGTTTCCTTAGCGCATTTCAATCGATCCCAAGCCCGCAATGATGCGCGCTCTGCCGGAAAGGGGAAACACGTGCTAGTGAACAGCAGCTCAGAAACAATTCTTTTCTAATGTTACCTGCTCTACTTGACTGCTCGCTAACACAAGTCTCATTTTAACCATTTGCAGGGAGAAGGCTGTAGGAAAATGTCTGATGAGCAGCCACAAAAGGCCTCGCTCCCTGCTACACAGCCTGCAACAACCTCGGCAGAGCGGAGCAGCCAAATCACCGCGCTCTCCTTGCCGTGGGCAAGGGTAGAAGATGACTGGGGGAGGCACATAAAAAGAAGGGAAACGCTCCTATAAATGCACAGCCATTTGCTTTCAGAAGCCCAGAGTTCAGGATCTTCTCTAGGAAGCCAGACGTGACATGATATTTCTAAGATTTTCTTCTTCATCGAAGGAAATGTACGTACATACACACTCTTACAAACGTACCTACGGTTCTGGGGTTTTTTTTCTTCTGAAGCTCCAAGAATGATTTCCCACCCTTGATTCATTCAGAAGAAACGGCCCCTGTGACTCAGGTCAGAAGGGCGGCCTGCGTTTTTTGATCACGACAGCTTTTGGCTTTACCCTGTGAGCAGGAGCAGCCAGAGCTGAGGCTCAGCAGAGGCTGACCCCGGCCAGCCCCTTCCTCCCTTCCCCGTGTCACAATGACTTCCAGGCAGAAGGATGCAAAGCAGGTTTGTGTCTTTTCTCTTCAGTGCCAAGAGGTAAAAGATGTAGGCTTTGAAATAACTAATGACCCTCTCTTGGAACTCTCCCAAGGACAGTTTGAAAGCAAAGACAGAAGATTGCTGCTAAATCCATATGGGATAAGGATGAGAGCAGCAAGGATCCGAGGCCAGCAGCGTTGCCAGGCAGTGTCACGTCCCTGCCACCTTGTGACAAGGCACACAGCTGCAAAGCCCCAAAGCCTGCAAGCCCCTGGAGCTGCCGCACGGATGGACCTGGTTCCCTTCCCAGGTGCCCAGAGGGACACCCGAGGGCAGGTGTCGTCCCCCGCCCCCCGAGGGCGCACCCAGAGCCCCGGGCAGGGACGGAGTCACTGACGGCTCTCTGGGGACGAGACCCCTCCCTGCAGGTGGACACCGGCTTGTCCTCTCCCTGTGGCACAGGGACCTCCAGGCTCTAGGACCAGCCTCATTTTGTCAGCATCCAGGTGCTGTGCTAGAGCCAGAGGGGTCAAGGCTTTCCAGAACCATAGGATCCGTAGGATCCTTGCGGTTGGAAAAGCCTTCTAAGGACATCGAGCCCAGCTGCTGCCCCCCCCAAATCAGGTCCCTAAACACCACATCTTGACATCCTTGACATGTCTCCAGGCATGGGGGACTTCCCTGGGCTCCTATGCCTGAGCACCCTTTCAGTGAAGAAATTTTCCCTCCAATCCAATCTAAGCCTTCCCTGCTGCAAGTTGAGGCCATTTCCTTTGGCCGTGTCACTTCTTACCTGGGAGACCTCGGTACTTCAACCTTACCTGCTCCTTCCCTAGGCGGTCTCTGGCTTGGCCGGAGGAGAGGAGGAACACTCCCACCACAGGAATGGCAGCTCAGGAGGTCCCACACCAAGGCCAGGGGGAGCAGCCGTCCTCGCCAGAGCTCGCACGTCCCTTCTTCTCAGAGATTGGCTCTGCTTTTCCTCCCGGGCAGATCTCTGCTGAGTGCTTCACAATTGCCTGTTTGGAGGAGGGGGGGGAAAAAGAGGTTAGCCAAGTTTTTTTATCCAGACTTAGCTGCTGGCTTTGCCTCCTCCTGACTTCCTTCTGCTAAGAAAACAGCTGCCTTTGGACTTCTAGGGGCAACTTGCACGTCATGCCTGAAAAGGAACTACAGAAAAGCGCCTCATTTATAAAGCCTCAGCCAAGAAGACAGATGCAGCTGCAGCTTCGCCATGCCCACTGCCTGCAGAGCCGGCAGGCAACCAGGCCAGCTCTGCTCCTCCTTCAAGTTGTTCCCAAAGCTGCTGGAAGAACTGAAGGGCTACTTTGGCCTTCCATTGCTCGGCTTGTCCCGAGAAAGAGCTTTGAGTGTTGTTACCCCCTCCAGAAAGGAAGGGCATTTCTGTCTCACACGCTCAGTGACACAAGGCTACGCAGCCTCTGCTCCAGGTGGGAAGGGCTTCCTTCCTCCTCTGGCACCCGGCTGGCACAGGGCACAGGTTGCTCAGAGGTCCTGGGGCTGCCCCATCGCTGCAAGTGCTCAAGGCCCGTCGGTGCTCTGCGATGAGGCTCTGAGCAAGCTGCTCTATGGAAGCACGTCCCTGCCCACGGCGGCAGCAGCCTTGGAATGAGGTGATCTTTAGAGCCCCTTGCAACCTGAATTCTTCCATGATTCTGGGAACTGAAAAAAGCGGGGAAAGAAATCTGTAAAGGTCACTAAATGCATCCAAGCACATCCCCAAGGATCCAATCCTCAGCAGCCCATGCAAGGCAAGGTCAGAGCTCTCTGCCCACCGAGGACACGGCAAACAGCACGGACCTTTCTCCCACTCTCCAGCACGGAGAAGTGGGAAGCCAGAGGGAGTCCGTCTGTTTACAGACACCGGAGGGCGGCGGGACGGGGCGGGGCGGGACGGGGCGGGCGGTCTTACCTTGCAAAGCTGGCGGCAGAAAGGGCGGGCAGCGCCGCCGCCCCGCCGGGATTTTCCGGCCCGCCGTCGCTTCCGCCGCGCGAGAGGCGCGTGCGCGGGCTCGGGGGGGGGTGCAGCCCCGTTCCCGTTCCGACGGCGTTCGCCCGCCCCCGCTCGCTGCCCCCGGCCCGCGGAGCGCTGCGACCGCGCCTCCGCCGCCCGCCGAAAGCGGCCCCGCCGGGCCGCGCCCCCCCCCCCCCCGGCCATTCTTCTCAGCCATCGTGTCCCTTTTGCACTCCTGAACGTCTTTCACCCCTCCCGGCCATTTACCGAGCCCGCCCCGCCCGCCCCTCGCTCCCGCCCGCCCCTCGCTCCCGCCCGCCCCTCGCTCCCCGCCCGCCCCTCGCTCCCGCCCCGCCCGCCCCTCGCTCCCGCCCCGCCCCTCGCTCCCGCCCCTCGCCCTTGCCTCGCTCGGCAGCCGCGCCCTTGCCCCGCCCCCGGCAGCCAGCGGCGAGGGGCAGGGCGCTGGCTCGGGGGGCTGCAGTACCGGGCTCTGGCCACACGGCGGCAGACTCCCGGGTCCGCGATATCCCCGCCCTTTTGGCCGCCATTTTCAGAAGGTCAAAGAAACTCCCGCGACATTGGTGACGCGCCACTCCCAACATGGCGGCCAAGAGAGGACCCCCCCCCCCCCCCCCCCCCTCGGGCGAGAGAGGCGGTTACTCACATGCCGGTCAGAAACACGCCAAAATACGCCCGCCTGCGGCGCCGCTGACCACACAGCCCGTGTCGGGTACACCTAAAACGCCACAAAAATCCCGCCGGGGCTGCGCCGGCGTCGGTGTTCCGTGCAGGCAGTCCGCATAGACACACCAGGGTCCTCCGCTTTCCCGCCCTTTTCGCCGCCATTTTCAGAAGGTCAAACAAACTCCCGCGACAGTGGTGACGCGCCACTCCCAACATGGCGGCCAAGAGAGGACCCCCCCCCCCCCCCCTCGGGCGAGAGAGGCGGTTACTCACATGCCGGTCAGAAACACGCCAAAATACGCCCGCCCGCGGCGCCGCTGACCCCACAGCCCGTGTCGGGTACACCTAAAACGCCACAAAAATCCCGCCGGGGCTGCGCCGGCGTCGGTGTTCCGTGCAGGCAGTCCGCATAGACACACCGGGGTCCTCCGCTTTCCCGCCCTTTTCGCCGCCATTTTCAGAAGGTCAAACAAACTCCCGCGACAGTGGTGACGCGCCACTCCCAACATGGCGGCCGAGAGAGGACCCCCTCGGGCGAGAGAGGCGGTTACTCACATGCCGGTCAGAAACACGCCAAAATACGCCCGCCCGCGGCGCCGCTGACCCCACAGCCCGTGTCGGGTACACCTAAAACGCCACAAAAATCCCGCCGGGGCTGCGCCGGCGTCGGTGTTCCGTGCAGGCAGTCCGCATAGACACACCAGGGTCCTCCGCTTTCCCGCCCTTTTCGCCGCCATTTTCAGAAGGTCAAACAAACTCCGCCACGCGCCACGCCCAAGAGGGCTGCCTGGCGGCGGCGCCGGGCTGCAGTACCGCGCTCTGCCCACAAGGCGGCAGCACTGCCGCCTACCCCAGCCGGGGGCGCCGCGCGCCTTGCGCCTGCGGGCGGCCAAGGCGGCAAAAAAGAACAGGGGCCATCCCCCCCAAAAACTCCTCGAAAAATAAATGCCAAAAACCTGCCTCTTACCAAACAAGAACCAAATAAGCCCCCTTTCTTAGTTTCTTCTCCGAAACTAAGCCCCCTGCCAGGGCGTCTTTCGTCAGAAGCCGCTCTCCGGAGAACACCGCCACCGGCACAATGCTCTGTGCGCGAAGAAGCGGCTTCTTCGCCTGCGGGAGACGGAGAGAGGCAGTTTCCCAAAGGCGAAGATGCAAGACGCAGCACACGGATATAGCGTGTGCAGCTTTCAAATTGATAGAAACGAGTATTTTAGCATTCTCCTGCCCTTTCATTCACATTATATTCGAATAAAAGGAGTTTTGGGACACTATGTTTTTCTTCCTGATAAACACTCTGCAGTCCTCTGTACAACTTTTAGAAGAAGATCGGGGATGTTTTGAGTACTGGCAGAGTTTCTCCTTGCAAGACGTGGTGGAAAAGATTTTTGCTGCGTGTTGAGCGAAAAGACAAGCAGAAGACAGAGATACGGAGCTCTCCGAAGCAAAATGCCGGTCCTGGGCAGCTTTCGGCACAAACCGCTCTCCAAAGCTCCCTGCGCCCGGCACAATGCTCTGTGCATTGAAGAAGCCTCTTCTTCGCCTCCAGGAGACGGAGACAAGGGCAGCTTCCAAAAGGCTAAGAACCAAGCCGCCCAATACCAGCATAACCTGAGCACCTTTCAAACAAATAGAAAAGACTACTTTACCACTCTCCTGACTTTTCCATTCACAATATAATCGAATAAAATGAGTTTTCGACAACTATCTTTTCCTTCTAGTTAAACAGTTCGAATACCTATGTGCATCTTTTCGAGAAAGATGCGGGATGTTTTGTGTACTGGCACAATTTCTCCCTGCAAGATATGGTGATAATTTCTCCTGGCAAGATATGGAAATTTCTCCTGGCAAGATATGGAAAAGCTTTTTACTAAGTGTTTAGCGACAAGAGACGCAGAAGACGTAGATACGGAACTCTCCGAAGCAAAGTGCCGGTCCCGCGCATCTTTCGGCACAAGCCGCTCTCCGAAATGCACCGCGACCCAAACAATGCTCTTTGCGCAAAGAAGCCGATTCTTCGCCTCCGTGAGACGGAGAAAACGGCATCTGCTCAAAGGCGAAGATGCAAGCCGCACCAAACAGGCACAGTGTGGGCAGCATCCAGACTTAGAGAAAACAGTACTTTACTACTGTCTTGCCTTTTCCATTGTTATTATATTCGAAAAGAACGAGTTTTGTACTACTATCTTTTCCGTATTGCAAAACTCTTTACAGACCTCCGTGCAAGTTTAGAAAATGATTTTGGATGTTTTATATACTGGCAGAGTTTCTCTTTGCAAGATATGGTGGGAAAGCTTTTTTCTGAGTGTTGAACGAAAAGATCCGAAGAAGACCGAGATACGCAGCTCACGGAAGCTAAGTGCCGGTCTGGGGCATCTTTCTGCACAAACCGCTCTCAGGAACTTCCTGCGCTCAGCAAAATGTTGTGCGCAAAGAAGCCGCTTCTTCGCCTCCGGCAGACGGAGAGCGCGGCACCTTCCCAAAGGCTAAAAACAAAAAGTCGCCTAATAACAGCATAATCTGAGCACCTTTAAAACAAATAGGAACGAGCACTTTACCACTCTCCTGACTTTTCCATTCACAATATATTCGAATAAAAATAGTTTTGAACAAACATTTTTTGCTGTGGGCTACTCTCTAAAGACCTGTTTGCACCCATTAGCACACCATCAGTGATGTTTACTGGCAGAGTTTCCCTTTGCAAGATATGGTGGGAATGCTTTTTGCTGAGTGTTGAGCGGCAATACACGCAGAAGACGCAGATAGGAAGCTCTCCGATTCTAAGTGCCGGTCCACGGCTTCTTTCGGCAAAAACCGCTCTTAGGTGCTCCCTGCGCTCGGCACAATGCTCTGTGCGCAAAGAAACCGATTCTTCGCCTCCCGCAGACGGAGAGAACGGCATCTTCCCAAAGGCGAAGATGCAAGCCGCACCACACAGGAACAGTGTGGGCAGCATCCAGACTTAGAGAAAACAGTATTTTACCACTCTCCTGCCTTTTCCACTGATATTATATTCGAAAAGAACGAGTTTTGGACAACTAGCTTTCCTTCTTGCAAAACTCTTTGCAGACCTCCGTGCAAGTTTAGAAAATGATTTTGAATGTTTTATATACTGGCAGAGTTTCTCTTTGCAAGATATGGTGGGAAAGCTTTTTGCTGAGTGTTGAGCGGCAAGACACGCAGAAGACGCAGATAGGCAGCTCTCCGATTCTAAGTGCCGGTCCACGGCTTCTTTCGGCAAAAACCGCTCTTAGGTGCTCACCGCAACCGACCCAATGTTGTGTGTGCGAAGAAGCCGCTTCTTCGCCTCCGGGAGACGGAGAGAACGGCATCTTCCCGAAAGCGGAGATGTAAGCTGCACCAAACAGGCACAGTGTGGGCAGCATCCAGACTTAGAGAAAACAGTATTTTACCACTCTCCTGCCTTTTCCACTGATATTATATTCGAAAAGAACGAGTTTTGGACAACTAGTTTTCCTTCTTGCAAAACTCTTTGCAGACCTCGTGCAAGTTTAGAAATGATTTTGAATGTTTTATTTACTGGCAAAGTTTCTCTTTGCAAGATATGGTGGGAAAGCTTTTTGCTGAGTGTTGAGCGGCAAGACACGCAGAAGACGCAGATAGGCAGCTCTCCGATTCTAAGTGCCGGTCCACGGCTTCTTTCGGCAAAAACCGCTCTTAGGTGCTCCCTGCGCTCGGCACAATGCTCTGTGCGCAAAGAAGCCGATTCTTCGCCTCCCGCAGACGGAGAGAACGGCATCTTCCCAAAGGCGAAGATGCAAGCCGCACCACACAGGAACAGTGTGGGCAGCATCCAGACTTAGAGAAAACAGTATTTTAGCACTCTCCTGCCTTTTCCACTGATATTATATTCGAAAGAAACGAGTTTTGGACAACTAGCTTTCCTTCTTGCAAAACTCTTTGCAGACCTCCGTGCAAGTTTAGAAAATGATTTTGAATGTTTTATATACTGGCAGAGTTTCTCTTTGCAAGATATGGTGGGAAAGCTTTTTGCTGAGTGTTGAGCGGCAAGACACGCAGAAGACGCAGATAGGCAGCTCTCCGATGCTAAGTGCCGGTCCCCGGCTTCTTTCGGCAAAAACCGCTCTTAGGTGCTCCCTGCGCTCGGCACAATGCTCTGTGCGCAAAGAAGCCGATTCTTCGCCTCCCGCAGACGGAGAGAACGGCATCTTCCCAAAGGCGAAGATGCAAGCCGCACCACACAGGAACAGTGTGGGCAGCATCCAGACTTAGAGAAAACAGTATTTTACCACTCTCCTGCCTTTTCCACTGATATTATATTCGAAAAGAACGAGTTTGGACAACTAGCTTTCCTTCTTGTAAAA